AAGGGAACAACAATTACCGTGTTTCCCCGAAAATACGACAGGGGCTTATTTTCTTTTTACCTACAAAATATGGCTTGGGCTTTTTTATGGGGGGGGGGGTTATTGTTTTTGGGTTGCCGGGGGGCTGCTCTCTTGTGAGCAGGCTCCCAAAGAGCCGGGCACAGCTTCATGGGTGAATGGCTGTGTTGAGCTGTCGCAGCAGCGCAACACAACAGCCATGAAGCGACCACGCTCATGAGCAGCCACCCGGCAAACCCTCTTAGCAGCGCACAGCGCCATTCACTGACCTAGGGGTATTGCCAACCCGCGTGAGTGCCTGCTTGCCGCCACCTGGCTCCCGCGGCTTGGTGCCTTCTAAATGCCAGTGAATGGCACTCTGCACGGCTGGAGAGGGGGGGGGGCTGCACAAGCGGCTGTTGCGCTCTTGCTCACCCGCCTCCCAGCCTCACGGTGCATGGGCCAGCTCTCATTACGGACCCAGGGCACCTCCGCCGCCATCCCAGTCTGGCTTTTTCCGCAGCTTCCAACCCGAGTCTTTTGACAGTGGCCCCTCTGGGCGCACACTCTATGGTTGTGGGCCAGCTGCCTTGCACTTTGCCTGGACGGAGGTGGGGAGTTGTCCAGGGGGCTTATAGGTGGGGGGGGGGCTTATATTTTTGCCCACCAGAAAAATGTGGCAATGCTGTATTATGAGGACATGTCATATTTTTAGGGAAACAGGGTAGGAAAGAGATTACCGTACAAAATTATAGATATCTGTAGAATGCATTGAATGATTTTTCCACTTCCCCAAATTTACAATTTTTTTTTGCTATTTAGGCTGTTCCTACCTACTGTAGGAAGAGTTTTTTTTTCAGGCAGTCTTCAACTTACAACCACAATGGAGCCTGAAATTTCAGTTGTAAATTGTTGGGGTCATAAGTCAAGTCACCATATGACCAGACTTGATTGTATGACCATTTTTACAACATTTGTAAAGTGAGTCATTGCGGTTGTTAAACCAATCCATTCTTCTGAATGGACATTTTTTAATTGGAATTCATAAAAAAATGCCAGAAACATAATCTCAAGCAAATTTAAAGTTACCGTTCAGATAATTCAACTAACAGATAATTCCAATGAAATAATTTGGAAATAATTCTGAAGCTGCTTCTGAATATTTTGGATTCTTTCTCTTCTACAGAAAAAGACATCTGCACTTGCACGCTCTTTGCTTAGAACTTTGAAAACCACATTTGCATTGCATTTGTACAAACTGTTTTGTGGCATTAGGAATGAAAACAATCTGCTGTACCTTTAAACACAAAGTCACAGTGTCTGGATGTTAGTGACAATTTCTGCAAAAGTTTTATTTTTCCATGATCATTTCTACCCAATCAACCAATCAATAAAAGTAAAAGAATTCCTATTGAAAACTCATAGAACAGTATTGCATTTATTTTTAAAACATTTGGTTAGTAGATTTGTTACATTTTAAACAACACCTTCAGAACAGCAGATTACGCAAAAAAACCACTGCAAAACTCAAGCAACCATAAATCAATGCAAAAGTTTCTCCCAAGTTCTTCTCGGTCTACTGCAAAGGTATGGATTAAAATCACAGAGCTGCTGCTCTATTTTGTAACTGAAAGTGGTCTCACAAATCACCATAGTTTCTCAGCAAGGTCAAATAAATGCACATTCACTGTTATTGTTGCTTTGCTTAGAGCCAACTATTTTAAGATGTTTCAAAATATGGGACTCCTATTGGGGGCTTAATGTTTCAAACCTCATTGCAAAACAGGGTTTGGTCTTAGACCAGCAAGTTCCAATTTCAAATTCTCAGTCAACCACAGAGCTTGTTGGATGATTTGGATCTAGTTACTCTCAGCCTTATCTGTCTTACAGAGAGCAGTGTTATGGTGATAAAGTTAGAAAAGACTTCACATACGCTGGTTTGAATTCTCCTGGGAAAGGTGTGATATACTGTAAATGCAATATAAAATAATTACTTAATAATAAACTTAAATAACTCCTTATTCTGCTGTTAGTCTGAATTTTTTTCATTGCTTTTTCCCTTTTTGCTTTTTACATAAAAACAATAAAAAACTATGTTGGATAGGAAATGGGTAAATATGGGTGCAAGGCATGAAGTGCTAAAATATATAATATTGAAAATGGTAAATTTGCCTGTGGGAATTTTTTCCACAGACAATCTCTGCTTCTACAGTTGTTTTCAAAATGGTATTGATGAAATCAAAGATGCTTGTAATATCAAACTTGTAATCTAATGGAAAAGAGCTTTAAAAATGCAAAAGTGAAAGCTATGTTGGTTTCTGCTCCCTCAGCTGGGCTCATGGAACGATCTACCTTTAAACCTGTATTGGTCTACTACAGTCTGGTGGAATGGCATGTTTCTTGAGGACTATTGTCCTGATGGGACAGAATTAATGAACTGGAGAATGCTCTGAGAAGCAACTGAATTGATCAGGAGGACTGAGCATATCTTTTCTTAGAAAAAAATAAAGGGCAAATATAACCTGAAAAAGGGACAAACCTGACGGAGGTTCAGAAGGATAAAAAAGTTTACTTGTTTATAACTTTGCTTTTCAAAGTACCAAACCAAGAAATACATACTCTATTAAAATCAAACACTATATTCAAATTTATTTTAAAAACACAATTCACTTTCTGTATTTTTCACCTGCATATGAAAGTGTGGTACCATCTGTATAATAATGAGCAAAATAAAGGGCAAAAGTGAATTTTTGAAAAATCTAGTGAATGGTTTCCTGAAATAAGTTAACTGTTCTTTTTTAATAAAACGTGTGGCCACTCCATGAATAAATATAAAATGCCTGATTTTGAAATCAGGAAAAAAAGAAGAGCCTCCCCGCACCCTGTTTTGGCTGGCAAAGTGCTACAAGAGGCTGTCCAGGCCAAAACGGGGCTGAGGGGGGCTGTGTGTGCCCCTTCATGCCCCATTTTGGCTGCCAGAAGCACCACAGGCCAATCTTTTGCTATTTCCAGACTGGTCCTCCATGCCTTGAGTTTAACACCCCTGATCTAGAGATTTGTGAACAATTCATATAATATTAAGCTGTGCTACAAACAGTATTGTTTGGCTACTCCAGCTCATGTAATAACACCTTTGCTTTACAAGTTGCATAGGTTGCCAGTTTGTTTCCAGGTACAATTCAAGATATTATTGTTATTACCTATAAAGGCCTACATGGCACAAGGCCTGACTACTGAAACAACCACCTGTCTCCAATAGTATCTTCCCAGCTGATTGGATCCTGCAGGGTTAATGTGCTTCAGTTCCCTTTGATTAAACCAGGTGTTGTTGTTTTTTAAATATTTGGACCACTTTCCACTTTTAAAAATTATGGATGACCCCAAAAAAGCTTTTGTTTGTAGAGGTTATATTTATCGGTATTCACTGTTTAAATTAAAATTGACACATTTGCTTCTGCTACTGCTCAAAACTGATGAGATTTTAATAATGCTTTATTTTTCAACATGGACTGGCAAGTTATTTTGATTTCAAGGATCCCTGAGAAAAATATTGGGGGAACCTTCAGGAATCCTTTAAGAAACATTGTATTAAACAATATCATTTCCTGAGACGCAGAAGCATGCCTGTCAAGCAACAGTCAAACAATAGCAAACAACCACTATTTTATTTTGCAGTTGGAAAACAAACATTTCATCAAACACAGTACTTCATTAGTAAACAGGTTGAGTGAAGGACACCTACAAAATAGCCTAAAATCTGGGGCTTCGAGGGGAGGAGCTGCCGCCGTCAGGAGCTCAACAAAGCTCCTGCCAGGACTCTGGTTCGTATAT